ACCTCTTCAGAACACTCTTCACTCAGACCTCTTAAGAGCGCTCTCGAGAGCGCTCTTAAGACTTCTTCAGAGCACTATCGAGACCGCTTGAGAGCTCCTGAGAGCTCTGCACTCGGCAGGGATTTGGTGTAGTTGGCTGGGATTGGACCCAAATGGGCCGGGATTAAACCTTGTTGGCCAGGATCGGTCCCCCTTTTCGGAAGCAACACCCCCCCCCGCCCTCCCTTTCCAAAGGGGGCAAATACTCGGCAGTAATCACCGACACGACGTGGATGCAACGCGCTGGGCGTTCACTTCAGGGAAGCAACCGCAAGCCAGCTGACGGCCAGAAAATGAGCCCACGGCGCCTGTCTCAGGAGAGCCCCGAGGCTCAATGACGGTCGCTGGGCGCGCAGAGCACCAGTCGACAGGCACGATCAGGCAGCATCATGCGAGAAAAGCGCTATGACAGGCATCGTGAAGAATGGAGACGGGGGCAATACACTTGTCTGATGAGGAAGAGGAGGAGGGAGGTGAAGGTGAGGAGTCGGCGCGGCCGGAGTAATAGCAAGAACCCGATTCTCAGGATATGGGGGACCATAAATTATGATTAACGAAGTTGGCAGCAAAAAAGGCTGGGCACAGATCCCAGACAGCGCAGGCGAGCTCAGGCCAGCTCAGCAGACGCTCTCTGAAACTAGACCGACGAAACAGGAACCGCAGGCGGTGTCTGCACCATCCCTAGCATTTGCAACCAGGAGGGCAAGAAAAACAACGCGCGCGCGGATCGAGAACCTTCCTTCCACGTAAGAGACAAGTCACCCTACGGACGACATCGTCGGACAAAAACGTGTGCAATAGTAGCAGGTTGGCCGCAGCTTCGAAGCGTCAGATTGGCATCGCTGATTTGTACGCATGTCGGTAAAGCATGTGGCCACGGTTGGTATCGCTGCGGCCCGATGCGTGCACTTGCTCAGTTGTAGTGCCGACTGCCATCGTAGTAACAATGGCGTCAAGACTAGCCGCGGTGGTCGTCCAACAACCCTAGCCGCGGTGGTAGTCCAATAATAAGGCGAGGACGATGCCATGATAGGATTGGTTCAGGATACCTTCCAGGATTTCCAGCGAACCTAGTGGCCCTCGATTCTGCAGCCCCGAGAAACATTAAGAAAAAGTGGACATCCTGGAAATCTGGGAAAGTATCATTATCATGACCCTTGCTCGTCCGAAATTACCGCCAACAGTTCCATCGCCCGTAGGCAGCACGACTACTGCTACTACTGCGGTCGCCAGCCTTGGCCGAGACGCAGAGCTCCCCCGATGAGGGGCCGCGAACAACTTTTTACACCACATACACAATATCTGCGTCTGGCTTCTCCGACCTGATGAGGGCGTCTGCGGCGGCCTTCTGCGCGTCGACGGCGAACTGGGCGTAGACGCCGATCAGGGCGATGATGGCGAGGATCAACAGGCACTGGGAGATCCTGACCGCGTCACCGAAGATAATCGCATCCATCACATAGGCGATGCCGATATCGGCGGACGCAGCGATCCTGGTCTTCAAGTTGCCGGCCGTCAAGATGGCCGCGTTGTAAAGCGCGACCATCGCGGGGAGCGACATGACACCGCCGACGAACATGGGGAGGCCCCAGCCATGGAGAAGACCTCGCGACAAGTACTTGTGCTCGAACACAGGCATCAAGATGATGTTGAACACGGACTCGTACAGCTCGTTCACGAGGAAGCACCTAAGCGTCTCGGCACCCGACTCCTCCTCCAGGACGTCGAGACAGGACTTCGCCGTGGCCTCAAAGGCGACGCCGCCGACTCCATCTGAGAGGGCTGCACCAAGGCCCAAGAGCAACCCGACCAGCGACATGTTAATTTCGCCCTCGTCACCGAGAGAGTAGACGATGATGCACAAGAGCAAAGCCGCCATGGTGAGGAGCTGCGTGCGGTACGGCGTGGTCCGCGTCAACCAGATCTCCCCGAGGACGCCCGGCAGAATCTCGCACTTGTTGAGCAGAACCACCAGGGTCGCGCTGAGGCCGCTCGCGAGCGCGAAGTTTTCAAGCGCGAAGGTCAAGGCGGACAAAAACTCCCGGAAGGGCGGCGCTGGCATACCTCCTGTTGCATACCTTGCGGGTCTCCGCGCGGCCGTGCACCGCGAGGGGGAGGAAGAGAAGCACAACGCAGAGCAGCAGCGAACCGAGCAGCAGCGGCGCGATGCGGGAGAACTCTGCTGGCACGTCGTCCTGCGCCCAGCGGAAGCCGGCGGAGCGCCGCGCGAGGGAGACCGGGAGGCTGGTCAAGACAGTCACCCTCGCCGCCGTGCTCGTCTTCGTTGCGGCCTTGGACATGCGCGCACAAGGGGCGGAGCCGCCCGCGGCCCACGGACGAACGGTCTGCCGCGCAAGCGCATGGGTCCAGCGGAGACGGGCCTTGCGCCAGGAGGGCTCGAGCCAAGATGGGTTGGCGGACCAAGCCGCAAGGAATGCTGGGACTGGCTGAGGTTCCCACGAAGGACCTCACAACGAATAGAGCCCTCTGGCAAGCTCTTGGGCTCATCAGACGCTCTCCAGAAGCTCCTCAGAAGCTCGTCAGAAGCTCTTCAGAAGCTCTTCAGGAGCTCTTCAGAGGCTCTTCAGATCGCTCTTGCAGAGGCTCCTCAGAGCGCTCTTAAAACCTCTTCAGAACGCTCTTCATTCAGACCTCTTAAGAGCGCTCTTGAGAGCGCTCTTAAGACTTCTTCAGAGCACTCTCGAAACCGCTTGAGAGCTCCTGAGAGCTCTGCACTCGGCAGGGATTTGGTGTAGGGGGCCGGGGTTGGACCCAAATGGGCCGGGATTAAACCTTGTTGGCCGGGGTCAGGGAATGGGCAACACACACGCTCTGGCGATGATGTTTTGGTGCTCGGCCAAGACTTTGCTACCTTGGCTGTATCCTTGCTTGCTCAGCGAGTTCGAGCAAAAACACTATTATGTAGAGGTGCGCTGCCTGCCGTCAACGTTGCGGCACCGATGCCGAGAAGACAATGCAAGACAATGCGTCCACCAACCAGCCCCAACCAACCAACCACTATCGAGTCGCAGTGCATAAAATGCGCAAGCCGCAGCCCCCTTCTTCGAGAGAGCTGTTATACGACTTGATAATCTGGACAAAATGCTTGTCGCCCAAACTCCATGCAATGCCTATGGCGGAGAAGCCTCCGTGTTGAGAGCGCCATGGCTTCACAACGCGATTTACTACACGCTGCACGCCTGCAGCATGCCACTGACTGCAGCACGGCATTACAATACGAGTCAAAGGCTGTTGCTCATGGACAGTCGAGCCAGGGAGGCGAAAAATGGGGGGCCGCACCCCCAAGATTCGTGGTAACACTGCGATGTGTGAGGAATGCTGACGCAAAATGGTGAAACAATTCTTGATTCCACTGTGGTCGTGCTGCCGCTCCGAACACAAACGGCACACGCGGAGCGCGTGTGCGAGCGGCCACGCTCGGTGCACGCCGGCGGGATGCATGCTGCGATCGCTGAGGGGGATCCACAAAAACGACCGCTTGATATGGATGCGGTGATCCATGATGCCCGTGGAGCGCCAGCGGGGCCCACGGTAAAACACGACGTCGAGCATCTGAATCTCATCGGAGGCGATACTCTCAACTTCTAGCTTAAACACCGTTGACAGCTCTTGCAATCTGGCAATAAGGGCATCCAGCTGTGCTCTGGACCCCGAATGCACCAGCAGAATGTCGTCACGATACCTAATATAAGCTACTATGCCGTGCAACTCACAGAAACGATCTTGAGACACGCTGTCGCGTTCAACTTGATTGAAATACGCTGCGTCAGCAAACTCCCCACTACAAGGGAGTCCCATGCCAGCGCCGACGGTGACCTTCCAGACCTTGTCGGGCGCTGTGGGGCACGCCACGTACTGGCAATCCAAAATCGCACGCAGCAGCTTGGCGCATGCACGGACGAACGGTCTGCCGCGCAAGCGAATGGGTCCAGCGGAGACGGGCCTTGCGCCAGGAGGGCTCGAGCCAAGATGGGTTGGCAGACCAAGCCGCAAGGAATGCTGGGACTGGCTGAGGCTCCCACGAAGGACCTCACAACGAATAGAGCCCTCTGGCAAGCTCTTGGGCTCATCAGACGCTCTCCAGAAGCTCCTCAGAAGCTCGTCAGAAGCTCTTCAGAAGCTCTTCAGGAGCTCTTCAGAGGCTCTTCAGATCGCTCTTGCAGAGGCTCTTCAGAGCGCTCCTAAAACCTCTTCAGAACGCTCTTCATTCAGACCTCTTGAGAGCGCTCTTGAGAGCGCTCTTAAGACTTCTTCAGAGCACTCTCGAGACCGCTTGAGAGCTCCTGAGAGCTCTGCACTCGGCCGGGATTTGGTGTAAGGGGCCGGGATTGGACCCAAATGGGCCGGGATTAAACCTTGTTGGCCGGGATCGGCCCCCCTTTTCGGAAGCAACACCCCCCCCGCTCCCTTTCCAAAGGGGGGGGGGCTTAGCCCCCCCCCCCCCCCTGGACCTCCCCTGCCAGAAGCCCCCCCTCCTCCCCTCCTTTCTCTCCGCCCCTCGGAAGCTACCCCCCCTCCCTTTCACGCTCTGGAAACCACCCCCCCCCTTCCAAAGAGCCCCCTTTTCCACTGGAGGGGCGCGGGGATAGCTTCAAGCTGGGGCCCCCATTTGAGTGAGAAGTGTGGCACCAGCGCGCCCGTTCGAACAAACTGCATAAGCATAAACGTCCGGAGTTCCGCGCGGAACATCCTGGATCGGCGCTGGGGCCCCTCTGCGCGCTCCGCGCGCCAAGATGGGGGGGGGGCCAGCGCAGATCCAAGAAATCTGCGCGGAGCTTCAGACGTGGACGTCTGTAGCCTCTGCGAACCTCGGCAGCCCTATCATAAACGCGATGTCGACCAGATCTCGTCCAGATTTCGACCGCCTCTTCACCTTTTCGTCCAGATTTCGTCCGAATGTCGACGGAGTCCGACGAACTGCGGACGAAAGCCCCCCAAACCGCAAGGCATGCTGTTCAGCCTCCATGACTCTCAAGCCCTGTTTAAGGACGAAGTTAGCGCTCCACGTCAATGCGCGCGCTGCTCGAAGTCTGACTTGAAACGGAATGCGCGCGCTGTCACGCCGGATGGCGGAGCACGTGCAGGAGGAACGAGGAATGACGGAGCGTTGAGGACGCAGGAGGCGAAAGACAAGCGAGAAGGGGGAGAGGTTCGGGCAAATACTCGGCAGCAATCACCGACATGACGTGGATGCAACGCGCTGGGCGTGCACTTCAGGGAAGCAACCGCAAGCCAGCTGACGGCCAGAAAATGAGCCCACGGCGCCTGTCTCAGGAGAGCCCCGAGGCTCAATGACGGTCGCTGGGCGCGCAGAGCACCAGTCGATAGGCACGATCAGGCAGCATCATTCGAGAAGAGCGCTATGACAGGCATCGTGAAGAATGGAGACGGAGGAAATACACTTGTCTGATGAGGAAGAGGAGGAGGGAGGTGAAGGTGAGCAGTCGGCGCGGCCGGAGTAATAGCAAGAACCCGATTCTCAGGATATGGGGGACCATAAATTATGATTAACGTTGTTGGCAGCAAAAAAGGCTGGGCACAGATCCCAGACAGCGCAGGCGAGCTCAGGCCAGCTCAGCAGACGCTCTCTGAAACTAGACCGACGAAACAGGAACCGCAGGCGATGTCTGCACCATCCCTAGCATTTGCAACCAGGAGGGCAAGAAAAACAACGCGCGCGCGGATCGAGAACCTTCCTTCCACGTAAGAGACAAGTCACCCTACGGACGACATCGTCGGAAAATACGTGTGCAATAGTAGCAGGTTGGCCGCAGCTTCGAAGCGTCAGATTGGCATCGCTGATTTGTATGCATGTCGGTAAAGCATTTGGCCACGGTTGGTATCGCTGCGGCCCGATGCGTGCACTTGCTCAGTTGTAGTGCCGACTGCCATCGTAGTAACAATGGCGTCAAGACTAGCCGCGGTGGTCGTCCAACAACCCTAGCCGCGGTGGTAGTCCAATAATAAGGCGAGGACGATGTCATGATAGGATTGGTTCAGGATACGTTCCAGGATTTCCAGCGAGCCTAGTGGTCCTCGATTCTGCAGCCCCGAGAAACATCAAGAACAAGTGGACATCCTGGAAATCTGGGAAAGTATCATTATCATGACCCCTTGCTCGTCCGAATTACCGCCAAGAGTTCCATCGCCCGTAGGCAACAAGACTACTGCTACTACTGCGGTCGCCAGCCTTGGCCGAGACGCAGAGCTCCCCCGATGAGGGGCCGCGAACAACTTTTTACACTACATACACAATATCTGCGTCTGGCTTCTCCGACCTGATGGGGGCGTCTGCGGCGGCCTTCTGCACATCGACGGCGAACTGGGTGTAGACGCCGATCAGGGCGATGATGGCGAGGATCAACAGGCACTGGGAGATCCTGACCGTGTCACCGAAGATAATCGCATCCATCACATAGGCGATGCCGATATCGGCGGACGCAGCGATCCTGGTCTTCAAGTTGCCGGCCGTCAAGATGGCCGTGTTGTAAAGCGCGACCATCACGGGGAGCGACATGACACCGCCGACGAGCATGGGGAGGCCCCAGCCATGGAAAAGACCTCGCGACAAGTACTTGTGCTCGAACACGAGCATCAAGATGATGTTGAACACGGACTTGTACAGCTCGTTCACGAGGAAGCACCTGAGCGTCTCGGCACCCGAATCCTCCTCCAGGTCGTCGAGGCAGGACTTCGCCGTGGCCTCAAAGGCGATGTCGCCGACTCCATCTGAGAGGGCTGCACCAAGGCCCAAGAGCAACCCGACCAGCGACATGTTAATTTCGCCCTCGTCACCGAGAGAGTAGACGATGATGCACAAGAGCAAAGCCGCCATGGTGAGGAGCTGCGTGCGGTACGGCGTGGTCCGCGTCAACCAGATCTCCCCGAGGACGCCCGGCAGAATCGCGCACTTGTTGAGCAGAACCACCAGGGTCGCGCTGAGGCCGTTCGCGAGCGCGAAGTTTTCAAGCACGAAGGTCAACGCGGAAAAGACTCCCGGAAGGGCGGCGCTGGCATACCTCCTGTTGCATACCTTGCGGGCCTCCGCGCGGCCGTTCACCGCGAGGAGGAGGAAGAGAAGCACAACGCAGAGCAGCAGCGAGCCGAGCAGCAGCGGCGCGATGCGGGAGAACTCTGCCGGCATGTCGTCCTGCGCCCAGCGGAAGCCGGCGGAGCGCCACGCGAGGGAGACCGGGAGGCTGGTCAAGACGGTCACCCTCGCCGCCGTGCTCGTCTTCGTCGCGGCCTTGGACATGCGCGCGCAGGGGGCAGAGCCGCGTGCGGCCCACGGACGAACGGTCTGCCGCGCAAGCGAGTGGGTCCAGCGGAGACGGGCCTTGCGCCAGGAGGGCTCGAGCCAAGATGGGTTGGCGGACCAAGCCGCAAGGAATGCTGGGACTGGCTGAGGCTCCCACGAAGGACCTCACAACGAAAAGAGCCCTCTGGCAAGCTCTTGGGCGCCCCCCCCTGCCCCTGGTGTGATGCAGCACGGCCCCCTGAGCCGCGTGGAACACGGCTGTCACACGTTGCGACCCCCATCTGGGACTTCGAGAAGAGAGGCGTCACATCTTGTGGCCCTCTGGGGCTTGCAAGAGACACCCATCACAAATCACGGTCTTCTGTAGCCCGCAGGAGACGGTGCCACATGCTATGGGCCTCTGGAGACCGAGGACGAGAGCTCACATGTTGCCGCCAAACGGACTGCTGTTCGGGCACGGTGGCGGCATTCGCCGCCAAACACTGGAGCAGCTGACCCAAGATTGCACACAAGGTGAAGTCGCTGCTCTGCAACTGACTGCTGCAATTACCCACTTGCCAGCCTCCTCCTGCTGCTCCCGTTCCCGCCCGTCCCCCCCCCCCCCCCTCACGGCACATGCTCGGTGGAGATGGGTGGAGACGCAGGAGGAGAGGGAGGAGGGGGAGGAGGAGGAGGAGGAGGAGGAGGGAGGAGGAGGAGGAGGAGGAGGAGGAGGAGGAGGATGGGGGAGGAGGGAGGAGGAGGAGGAGGGAGGAGGAGGAGGAGGAGGGGGAGGAGGAGGAGGAGGAGGAGGAGGATCTTTTTTCCCTACCTAGGCTCTGCCTAGAAGGGTTCTTACTTTCTTTGCTAAAGGGGGCGGGCAATGCAACCCACCCCGGGCGGTTCCCCCGGTTGCGCCCCCCTGGTTCCCCCAGTTGCGCCCCCTGGGTTCCCCGAGCTTAGCTTAGCTTAACTTACCCTGAGCTTAGCTTCGCTTAGCTTTAGCTTAGCTTAGCTTAGCTTAGCTTAGCTTAGCTTAGCTTAGCTTAGCTTAGCTTAGCTTAGCTTAGCTTAGCTTAGCTTAGCTTAGCTTAGCTTAGCTTAGCTTAGCTTAGCTTAGCTTAGCTTAGCTTTGCCTAGCCTAGCCTAGCTTAGCTTAGCTTAGCTCAGCTCAGCTTAGCTTAGCTTAGCTTTGCCTAGCCCAGCTTAGCTTAGCTTAACTTACCCTGAGCTTAGCTTCGCTTAGCTTTAGCTTAGCTTAGCTTAGCTTAGCTTAGCTTAGCTTAGCTTAGCTTAGCTTAGCTTAGCTTAGCTTAGCTTAGCTTAGCTTAGCTTAGCTTAGCTTAGCTTAGCTTAGCTTAGCTTAGCCTAGCCTAGCTTAGCTTAGCTTAGCTCAGCTCAGCTTAGCTTAGCTTAGCTTTGCCTAGCCCAGCTTAGCTTAGCTTAACTTACCCTGAGCTTAGCTTCGCTTAGCTTTAGCTTAGCTTAGCTTAGCTTAGCTTAGCTTAGCTTAGCTTAGCTTAGCTTAGCTTAGCTTAGCTTAGCTTAGCTTAGCTTAGCTTAGCTTAGCTTAGCTTAGCTAGCCTAGCCTAGCCTAGCTTAGCTTAGCTTAGCTCAGCTCAGCTTAGCTTAGCTTAGCTTTGCCTAGCCCAGCTTAGCTTAGCTTAACTTACCCTGAGCTTAGCTTCGCTTAGCTTTAGCTTAGCTTAGCTTAGCTTAGCTTAGCTTAGCTTAGCTTAGCTTAGCTTAGCTTAGCTTAGCTTAGCTTAGCTTAGCTTAGCTTAGCTTAGCTTTGCCTAGCCTAGCCTAGCTTAGCTTAGCTTAGCTCAGCTCAGCTTAGCTTAGCTTAGCTTTGCCTAGCCCAGCTTAGCTTAGCTTAGCTTAGCTTAGCTTCGCTTCGCTTCGCTTAGCTTAGCTTAGCTTAGCTTCGCTTCGCTTAGCTTAGCTTAGCTTAGCTTAGCTTAGCTTAGCTTAGCTTACCCCATCTTAGCTTAGCTTAGCTTAGCTTAGCTGTTGCTTTCCTGAATGCTCCAACTCCTAGGTAGGGTCGCACTGGGATAATTTCCAGTGCGCCGCTGCCAGCCAACCTCCAGAGTGCAAAAGATGCAGGGGTTGCCTGGCAGGGAAAAGGGACTACGCCAGCCATCTCGAGGAGGTCTTAGACGGCGGGAGGCCCTTGCAAACCCGCTGCAAAACCTCGAGCTGGTGTTTAGTGATGGTGTGCGGTCCAAGTGCGGCCACGGGACAGGGCTCCCGCAAAGAGTCAGGGCGAGCTATTGCCCACGAGCCGCATTCACCGCAAAACGTGAAAGCACCCTTATGCCACAAAACGTGCGACGCGTGGACTGCCTTGCCTGCGACCCAGGGCGCAACACGCAGGGGGGGGCGGGTCGAGCCTCAGGCGACGCCAAAGGGCATCATCCCTGGCGGCCAGGGCCCGACCTGGCCTCGCCCACTTCTTAACAGTAATCTCCTCCGCCACCACCGACTCCGAACCCCCAACTCCACCTCCTCCACAAGCAGAGCAAGCCGAGCGGAGCCTCGCACGGAGCGAGGGGGCAGCATCGGAGATCGAAGCCTTGCACATCCCACAAGTCCAAACGCCAGAAACGAACTCCCAAACGTGCGACGAACCCCTCACATCGGCTTCGATCCACCGTCTCCTGCGGAGCACAAGATCAATGGGCTGCTTGCGCAGCCCGCGCTCAGGCTCGGCCTTGAGGGCGGCACACTCGAGAATGATAGAGGCGTTGCGCTCGAGGGTGGCGCAAGCATTGCCGACTAGCTCATTATAAGCCTGGGCAACTCCATTCGGAACCTGGCATTCCCGAGCCCGCAATTCAGCAAGCTCATCTGCGACAGAGTTGAACACTACCTGGTCCCAGTCTACAGAGTCGCCAAAACGGGCGAGCTTTTGGGGATCCTCCAACAGGTGGCTAGGAACATGGAAAAGCTGGAAATCCCCAGGTCGCTCCGCCAGGAGCTGCCAGAATTCCCACCAGAGATCAAAATTCGCCAGCCTCGCAGAGGCATCACGGCCAGCCAGGAAACCTTTGACAATATTGGCATGGTCGGTGGCCACGCGCAGAGCTTGGGCAGGGTCAACGAAACGAAGGCACTCCACAATGGCCGCAAGCTCTGCGCGGGGAACCGTCTGTCGAACCGAGTCGAGTACACCAGTGACACCACAATCCCATTCAAAATCTTCGCTAGGGCGGAGCCGCACAAAGGCAAAGGCAACTCGTCGGAGGACAGGAAACTTGGCAAACTGCCCTCCCGTGCCATCGGTGGCATATAGGCCTCCTGGCAGACAGCCAGGAAGCAAGGCCCCGGGACAACGCCGCCCCTGGAGGTCCCTGGACACAGGCACGGGAGGTAGGTTGAACCAGGAGAGGGGAATACGGCCACGCATCCAGAAACACGGAAACTGGAGAGCCTCCTGCTGGGCACGGTGCCTAAGGTGCTGAGAGTCAGCAATCTCCTGAACCTGCGACGAAGCATTACACATGCACTCCCAAAACCTGTGGCAGGAGGTCTCGGGGTCACGCTGGCAACGCCTACAAATGGGATCGGGAGCCATCTGGGCCTTGTGCCTTCTCTCCTCGGTCCAATATCCTCCAGAGACCAAGAGCCGAATCATAGCCGCGAGGTCCCGAAGCCCATCCTTCTCGAGGGAGGCAACAAGGTCCCAGACATGATGAAGAGAGACAGGCCCCTGGATTCCAGCGCCACCTAGGTGCTCGGAAGCCTGGCGCCACTGTACGGTGTCGATGGAATCGTCAAAGGCCTCGAGAAGAGGGCCTAGCGGGCCGTGCCCGTCCTCCATCATCTGCCACTCGTCACCACCAGGCGCAATGAGAGTGAAAGGTGAAGGGCACTGCCATCCTACAGCCAACATCGTGGCTTGAAAAGCCGCCATCGGGCCACGGACCCAGGACCACCCTGTACGGACCCTGGCCAAGGAGGCCGCCCAGAGACAGGCCAGGCGACGGAGGAGCCCAGGGCGGCCCGCAAGGCGAGCAAACCACGATTTGACGACACGCCGAACGTACACCTGGAGGGGGTCCTGGCCATAGCCAAAAGTGAGACGAACAGCGGTTGTGGCACACACACACCTCTCTGCGGGGTCTTGCTAGCGGCACGCGCCATGCTGCGGAGGCCTTTGAGCATGGAGGGAGAGACACCGTGAATCTCGGGCGCCCACATGGCCTTCGCATAGGCATTAGGAACAACTTACTGGCTTGCCTGCACGTGCGCCCAAAACTGAAAATCTTACTAGTGGCGTCCCGCCCCTTGGTGAAACGGGTCTTCCTGACAGCCACAGTTCTTCTGGCGCCCAAAGCTGCGTCGTGCCCCAGGTCCCTGGCGGCCAGGGCCACCGAGAACTCACAGCCCTCACTGACAGCAATCCTGGAAAGCTCAGCCCGAAGGCCTGGCGAGGACGCGAGCAAATGGGACTTCCCCAGGGACAACTCACAGCGACGCCTCCTGAGGCCAGTGAGGGGGGCTCTGAGCAGGATGGGGAACGTAACAACGATGGACGAATGCGTGCCAAAAAGACGTGCTGAGATATCATCGACCCACTCCCGCAGCCTAAGGCCACCGACCGATCCATTGGCTCCTGCGAGGGGTTGGTACAAGTGAGCCCGCGCCAGGGACGTGGCCTGTCCACACCCAGCCGACATGCCCCCATGAGCCAGGATCCCAGGATGGACAGCCCCTTCCAGCGACAAATGCCGAACACCCAAGTAGATATCGATGGCCAGGGCCAGCAAACGGAGTGGGTAATCTAATTCGCTTCCACCAAGTCCTTAAGACAGCCTTGGTCGTAATACTTCTTCATATCCAGCAAAAGGCCCCCGACCTGGAAACCGCTGTGGAGGGCAAGTTCCGTTTCCAGCTCGTCAAGCCAACCAGCCACGTCGGCCGAGCCCCCAACAGTCTGGTCCCAAGGCCCGCGCGCCCCACGGCCCCAAGCCGTGATGAAAGGCTTCCTGATGCGCAAAAGAAGCGTATAAACAAAGCCGAGCAGCGCAATGGGCCTTTTTCCACCGTCAGGCTTTGGGATGAGGGCGACCAAGGCAAATAGCTGCTGAAAAGGCAAAGTGCACTGCTCCTCAATGGACTCTAGAAGCTGAATGAGGTGGAGCTTGGCTTCAACACTAGCCTCCTTGATTCGGCGCGGTTCAATAAAATCCAAGCC